GAGGTTGAAAAACACTGTTCTAGAGCAACCAACAACTGGTCATGACTATGAGGGAAGATCGCCCTTAGAGAATGCCTTATTGATACATAAGGCAGTAGTTTGGTAGGGTTCTTTTTTAGAAGTTGAATGAAGTGGTCACGTTTGTCCCTCATGTGAAATCGAGAGCATTAAGTGTGCTAATAAAGTGTCTTCTGACCTTCAGTCCCTTTCAGTACCTACTCAGCGAGGTTCCTTTCCCCTCTATTCGGCTCTACTTGTTCATAAGGGTTTTCCACCAGTAAAGGTTACATGGTGCCAGTGGCTTTTTTAGAACTTTCTTCACTGGGGGTCCAAGTGAAGGAAACAAATGATCACTGAAAGGGTACAGAGTGGATGGACTCACTGGTTGCCTCACAACTCCCTGTTTCTGGATGATGGTGACAATGGTGGTGGGAGTTTGTCCCGCAGTTGGTGGGTTGCTGGATCGAGCCCCACTCCGTCTGCCTCCATTGTTGTGTCCTTAGGCAAGACACTTCACCCCCCTTGCCAGCTGGTGGAACTGTAGCTACTGTGCAACCATCACCAATTTACCATTTACAAGAGCCAATCCCGCACAATAATCCAATCGGCAATTTGTAAAAACTCACAGCAGCAGCTGAGTTTGACAAGAAGCTGCAGACTGCTTCCAGCATGGCTTCCATGTCCTCCATTGTTGTGTTTGTGTTGCATACCGATCATGTCGCACTACTTTTTGGACGCTTTGGCCGCCCAATTATATGACAACCCCACCTCATAGAGCTGTTATTCAGTTGTAATGGAAAACCACCTGAACTGAGTAGAGCCGTGCTGCTAGGTGCTGGTAGAAAAGTGCATACCACTGATGCCTCATAAAGCCCACGGGAAAACTGATATTATCAACTTGTAATTTATTGTAATCACTGCTAGGCTATGCCAAGAGTATCTTCCCTGTGACATTATTCTTCCTTTCAGGTGTTCTTTTCCACAATCAAAGTGTTTACATGTTTTGTGCCTTCAGGCACTGAATGGATCGGCGTGTCCAGACGGTCCTGGGGCGCCTGCATCACTCAGCTATGTGGTGCTGTTGGACAGGCCATCCTCGGCGGCTTGATTTACTTCATCAGAGACTGGAGACTGGCTCAAATGGTCATGGCTGCTCCGTTTGCCGTGATCACTTGTTACATATGGTCTGTGGAAAGATTTTTTGTTCTTTAACGTTGCAACAGGGTTTTCTGGGTTGATGCGTAATTCTGCATTTTCTGCTTAAGGTCTGACCAGCAATTCACATTTTTTCTAATTATTACCACTCTTGAAAGAGAGGGAAATGTGCTACATGTTCTCTGATTTATTTTCAAACCAACAGAAAACAAATGATTTACAAGATTATCCTTGTGTATGGATAGTACAGTGGGTTCCTGGTGTTTGTGTTTGTTAGGGACAACAGCCACTCACACATAGCTAAGATCTGCATGTACTTGAAACCAAAACTACAAATAAATAATAGTTCAGACAGCAATTATACCTTAATATGCATCAATGCACACAGTGGAAACTGTCTTAGCACAATGGCAGCAGCTAGCATCTACATTATCTCTCCTTTTGGTGGTTCAGCCAATCAGTGCCAAGAAAATAAACGGTGCTCCTGGATTGGCTGCTTTGCAAACACCAGCCAATAGCATGTCAAGTTGCATTGTTTCTGTGTATTTTAATTTGAGGCGAATTTTCTTTAGAATATTTCAGATATTCTTTATTCAAAACTCTGTGATCAGGCAGATTTTCTGCGAATAATTTGGAGTTACGTCGCAGAGCAAAATCCGCGAATACTGTAAGCCAGTGTACATGCTATTGGATGGTGTGTTTAAGAATAGAAAAACTGTTGAACCATGAAAAAAGAAATGAACATTTTCAGCTTTCGACATACTGATCACAGGTCAGACCCGCCAAGCCAAGAGAAAGTTGTCTGATTCCCGTCTCTGAGCAACTGATTGATGCATGTTTAGCTTGTAATGCTGTTGTTACACGCAGTCTTTCAACACATGTTGCCATATATGAAACACATTTGATGTAGTTCTAAACATAAAACCTTTCAAAGTTCTGTCAGAGTGCACCAACTTTGGAGACCAAAATATGCGTTCAACAGTATCTGATGTGTAAAACCGTGAAGCTGGTGTTTAAGCCTCTTTCATACGATATTGACATATGAGACAGATGAACAATAAAGGAGACTAATGAAAGTATCCATCTAATTTTTCACAGGTTTATTCCAGAGTCAGCCAGATGGTTGTTGGACAGGGGACGGACAGACGAGGCTAAAGAGCTGATCCTCAAAGTGGCGGCCATTAACAAACGCACAGTTTCAGACTCTCTCCTGGAAAAGGTGCGACTGTTTGCCTTTCTGTCTCCGTCTGTCTCCAAACAGACAATGATAAATGTAATTTAATAAAAGTCAAACGGGTTTCGTACAGTAATCGTAAAGAAAAACAAAAACATTTTAGGACAATTCAGTGCCTTGTGACAAACGTTTTCCCTCCACTTCTCAGCTACGCAGAAGTGGAGGGGAAACGATGCGATCAGATAAAAATCTTAATCAAAACACAATGAAGTTTGTTGACACAATCTGATTAAATGTAGAATATTGCTACTTTTGCAATGAAGGTCTTGTTCTTACCAACTCAGCGAATTAGAACAGATGAAACGTTGTCATATTAGTTGATTAGTTATAATAACAGCAACTGTTGACATGATGTTGTGTTGATTACAGATTACTATCAAAGAAAATGTGCAAAGGGGAGGCATAATATGTCTTATTAAATCTCCTGTGCTGAGGAAGTATTTCCTCACCATCATCTTGGCATGGTAAGTTACACTGCGTAACACATTTCCCATGGAGTTGTGATATCTAAAGAAAAAAATTAGAAATATGACAATGTTTTGGTTTTCTGCAGGTTCTCCCTGAATGTTACCTACTTCTGCCTTTCGCTGAATGTGGGAAACTTTGGCTTGGACATCTTCCTGACTCAGGCCTTGTTTGGGCTCTCTGAAGTACCGGCTCACATCATTTGCATTTGGCTGCTGGAGGCGGTGGGGAGAAAAGTGTCACTAATCACCACACTTGTGATCGGAGGATTTCTGTGTCTCTTGATCCTCGCCGTACCTCAAAGTAAAGCCTCATTAACTGACTTCATACTGACTCGATTTAATGTTGCATGGTTGCATTTTCCTAACCAAAACTTGAATTATTTCAGAAATGTTTGCTTATACAACCCCACCAGTTTCTTCTTCTCTCTTCGTTTTCTCAGCACACAGCTTAGTGCGTTGCTCCCACCTTGTGGTGGCTGAAGCAACATTGCATTGCAGCAAGTTGTCTTTTAAAAAAGCATTGCAGTCATATATGTATGTAAAAATTTAAAGAGATCAGTTCCTATATGCTTTGGACTAGAGGAGAATAAATGCAGTTTATTTGCATTGCGTCTGTGATTGTAGCAGAAACTACGGAACAAAACTCATTATTTACCTTTTGTCCGTGTGTAGGATTAGTTATTATATTTCAAATAAACTCCTAATAATGATTTGAACATATCATCAGTGTCACAAGACAATCTTCCTGACTTGGAAGTCCTGAAATAATTTGATTTTTACTCTTAAAAAAGATGTTTAATACACTCATCAGTATACAAACCATTTTTAAAAAAGGATGTGAATGTCAATGCTTTGCATTCATGATGTTATAGCCTCTATAACATATTTCTAAGTTTCTATTTTTTTTTGTCTTTTCCAGGTAGTGCCATTGCTGTCACTGCGTTAGCCATTGGTGGACGTTTTTTGACCAACTGGGCCGGATCTATATGCAACTTGTATGTTCAGGAGTTGTTCCCGACGTCTTTTCGGTAAGCTGACTCCCGTTAACGTATTTCCCTTTAAGAATGATCCTGCTCTCCAATCTGGTCTTGTTTTGATCAAGTCATTTTAAATGTGAAATGTGACGCCTTGTTGTTCCGTGTTACATCTCAGACTCTCACTCAGGATGTACTATAGAAAGTATTCACCCCTCTGGATGTTTGACCCTTTTTATTGCTTCTACAAATCAGTCAGGATCAACAAAATGTGGCTCTGTTAACAAAGGAATTTCCAAAAAAAAAAAAAAAAAAAAAAAAACTTTTACAGTTAAAACTGATTTTTACAAAACGATGACAATCGAATAAAAGTATGAAACGTAAAATAAAAACTACTGATAAACCAGTGAATGGACCTTTCAGACACATGTTTCTTCAGCTATCACAAATTGACTGGACCTTTGTTGAATTAGGTCAGTTACTTTAAAAGCAGTGAATATTTATGATACTTATGTTTCATATTTGTATGTAATTGTCATTATTTTGTAGAAGTTATTAGCTTTTTTTTGTTAATTTCTATTTTTAAAAAGCAATATTTTGTTGATGATTGATTTGCAAAAAGCAACAAAAAGGGTAAAACATCCAAAACGGTGAATACTTTTCGTGGGCGCTCAAGTGGTAGCGTTCGGTACTAATTTTGTGTCTGCTGTAGTAATTTAACATTTTTTTTAAAGCAGTACATTAAGCAGACAGAAACTGTTTGTTGAATAAACCTCTGAGGAACGACTTGTCCTTGCTTTAGGCAAACTGCCTCGGGTTTGGGCTCCATCATGAGTCGAGTCGGAGGATTGCTTTCCCCGCTGCTCAACATGCTGGCCGTGTACCACTGGTCCATCCCTATCGTGGTCTACAGCAGCCTCACCATCCTCAGCGGAGCCCTCTGCTTCCTGCTTCCCGAGACCAGAAGAACAGAACTCCCCGACTCGACCTGTCAAGCTGAAGGCAACTGGTAAGAAAGCTGGATTTGGACAACACTGTCTGAGATCCTCATCTGGCAGGACCAATCCACAAAAACTACACAAATGTTGGCCTTTTTTGGTTCATCCTTTTTATGAGAATTTTTGCTTTTTGTATGTCTGATTGATACTCTCCTCAGTTCAGGACCACTGAACTTAAAATGTCAAAATCTGCTCATAAATCTGGTTTTTATGTGACGTCACACCATTCAGACCCCTGACGGCAAACTCAAAAAGACTTTCTGTGTTTGACCATGGCATGACTGATATTCAGATTAAACAGTAAATTTGCATTTCTTAAAAGATCCTGAGGGGGACAAAACACCAAGAGGCAGATCTCAGTTATTTAGGCTGATTTAACACTTTATAGTCAAACCTTGGTTTGACTGGAGAACAAAATTGCAATATTTGTTACATTTTGTTTCATTTTCAGCTGGTGCAGTTCACTTTCACACTGCACTGTGTCAAACGATCCAAACCTCTTGCCTCTGGTGGCGCTGCACCAAAAATTACTGAAGTAAACAACACAAAAACCTCTGAAGAAGACACTGAGCACAATTTCGTTATTCGCAAAAATGTGGTTGTAGGATTTCTTTGTTTTTCGTAAAAGACCACAACCAATTTCTCCCGCTTGCGCCGGACATGCGTGTTTGTTTTGGTTATATTTACCTCTTTGTTGACGATCTTTTGTGTTCTGTTCAAATACTGTTGGTTTCGAAGATCTTCTCTTTTCTCACCACAGGATGAAGAACAAGACAAATCACCAACAAGACTCAAATGAAGATTTACAAATCAAATCAACCAAGTTGTAGTCTGTTTTGTTTAATTTTTTTAGTGCACTAATCTGGCCTCTATTGGAACTCCAGTGTGTAGCCACGGCTTATCGGTGGATTTTTATTTTATCTCCTGTAATTGTCAAACATTGTTTATTGATAATAATGCTCAATAGTTAAAAGAACCTTGTTTCTAGCTCCTCTCTTTGTACTCCTTTCTAAGTGGTATTTAGGTTACAACCTCATCTACTTTTACAAATATGGAATAATCAATCTGTTTTTGTTGTTTTGTTTTTTTTTTTGTTTTAACTCATGCGCTTATATTTTTTGTGTGGGGGGAAAAATACAAATTTACAGCTGCAGAAAAAAGAGATATGAAATCAGGACTAATGGCTGAGCTTTTTGTCACATTTGTGTCAACATCAACAGAAAACCCTTTTAACAGAATCCTTCGTGTCTCATTATACTGTTTGCTGTTATATGAAAATGTTGAAAATCTTTATGTCTTACAGCTTGTGCAGCTTCATTATTATATACAGTATTTTATTTTTTGTTATCTCTCACATTAACTGCACAGTTTTCAATAAAAATATTATTGACTCTTTATTGAGGTCTGACTGTTTTTAAAAGCTATATATTTTCAGGATGAATTGAGTTTTCTAGTCTAAAAATCATCAACATTACATATTAAAACATCAGTGTATGCATATTGTTGAGGCATTTGCCTTCTAACAGAGTACAAGAAAAGTCTGTTGAATGTTTTGCAGCTTCTTTTTCTACCTTCATACTAAAAGAAATTCAAATTTCTCTAAAAGTAAAGTTCCCAAGAGCACACTGCCTTCAAAACTATCCACGGGGTGTACAAGATGAAGCAGCACCCGAGAAGAAAACTGAGATTCTTTTTCTTATTTTTCGCAATTAAAATGAATGTTTCACAAATCACAACTTTATAATCTGTGAAGAAAAATGCCCTTCCAAGTGTTATAGTCCATGTATTCTGGATTTTAGGTTGATAAGGTGGTACAATGTCTAAAAAAAGCACGTTCTTACAAAAACACACACAAAAAAGTCAAAAACTGAATTTTAAATCTTCTTTGTGCAGTGCAGATTCATCTAGTTTGGGTCAGATCGTATTTTAGATTGAGAATCCGAGACAATTTAGAATCACCATTTGACCCAAACTGTCTCTTAAAGAGGACTGTCCCAGTCGGTGTTGCCAGGCAACAGCCCAGATTTCTACTGTCCTTCCTGTTCCTCTCCATCATACGTTGTCTCTCATCTGCATTCACAATTTTCAAGCTACAGCTATAAACACTTAGTTTTGTTTACCTACCAGTCAGTATCTATATTTTTAGGAGCAGAGATAAAAACCTGTTTCCTTTTTTTTTATGACAAATAGCTTTCAGAAACTAAAGTAATCACCACTGATGTGACATATTACTTGTTAAGATAAAGATAAAGTACACCCACCTGCTGTCTATTTTAAGGAAAGTATTATAATCTGACATCACCTACTGGCCAGATACTGCAAGTACATCATACCCTTAATATTTAATATACTGTAAAAGAGTAAATATACATTCTCACATTGTCTTATGTAATTACATGTATATAAACTATTTATAAAATATAAAGTATTTTCTATATTTCACTATGCTGAGATAAAACTACATTTTCAGATTCAGAGTTCCTTTTCAAAACCTTACACACTCACTTACACACACTTGCACTTGGTTTGCTGACAGCTTGTTTTAAACCATGTGGGACTGACATTTAACGTAAACCAAACCATTTTGTTTCCCTGATTACATTTTAACTTGTTTGCGTCATTGATGTTGACTTGAGTTGTGCCCTTTTAATCCGTTCTGTTTACACTGACACACTGACATTCACGTGGCCCGTTTAGCCTTTAAAGCCCCTGGAGATCTTTTATAAGGTAATTTATTGGCTTTCGCTTTTATTCCGTCACCTGCACTACTTAAAGTAGCCAGTTGTGCACAGTAAAGGCTTTGCATGGTGCAGATATGTGGAGGTGAACATTTTTTACTTTAATAACCATTAAACCATTCTAAATACTTTTTGTATTTACAAAAAGTCTGAATAAATATTGGCCCCCTTACAGATTCGTTCATTTGTCAGACTTAAATTTTTCAGATGATCAAACATATTGTTTCATAGAACAAAATTTACATGAGTAAATTGAAAAATGTGTTTCAAATAATGAAGCAACAAAACTGGTTGTGCTAACTTTGGTAGGAATAGCTGCCAACTAGGATTTGTGATAACTGCAAAGAGTTTTACATCAATTAAATTTAACTCTTCTTGATCTTTTTTTCCCCAGGGTTCAGTCTTGGACAAGACCATAAAAAACCCTTAATTTAGTTTATGTTGTTTAAAAACTGACTTTGGAGTTAGTTTGATGAAACAAAGACTCAAACATTAAAGTGTGAAAAAAGCAAAAGCAGAAAAAATATAGAATTGGTGGTTGTAGCATTTTTCCACAAAACAGCTGAAAAAAAACATTATATATATATATATATATATATATATATATATATATATATATATATATATATATATATAAAATGAAGCTATACTGTGGACTCCATATAATCCATATGCTATGTATGCAAATATGGTTATCTAGAGTGTTGTCCATAAACTGTAGAGAACTGTAAGAAAATTCAAAGGTCATTGTTTTACTGCAAACCTTAGAGTGCAGAACATCTGACAAAGCAACATAAAACTGTCCTGGATGAACTTCAGACCAAATTACTTTTAATTACAGAGACATCCAGCTATATGGATGTACTGTGAGCAAAATCCTTAGAATACCGACATGCCTTCTGATAAGCGATGCGTTCCTAAAGATTCCTCTGCAAAGTAATTGGGTTCTAGTTTGTTTTAAATGTAAAATCAAATGTGCCGCTGTCTTGCTTCGAGGTGAGATAAGTAGTTAAACGTTAACGTCGCCTAAATCTGTTGTTTTGTCTTCACACAGCGAAGTGACATCAACATGGCAGACTTTGGAGAGATCCTCAGGAACATCGGAGAGTTTGGCTTGTTCCAGCAGCTTACTCTGACTGCGCTCGCGTTTCCAAACTTCTGCCAGGGTTTTCTGATGTCCGGGTTTCTTTTCATCCAGTCCGACCCGGAGCGACACTGCAACACGGACTGGATCCTCAGAGCTGCTAACCTGACCACAGAGGAGCAGCTGAACCTCACGGTGCCCAGGGAGGAGGATGGGAGCTTCAGTCGGTGTCGGATGTTCGTCCCTGTGGACTGGGACATCCAGGATATCAGGGCATATGGACTCAATGAGACAACAGGCTGCAGGGACGGATGGGTTTATGGCAGCATGCTGTATGAATCCACCATAGTTACCGATGTAAGTGTTAGAGTACAAACTCTTAACTTGTCATTCAGTCAATTAAGATCCACTGAAACATGCATGATGTAAATGTTTGCAGTTTGATCTGGTGTGTGGCCAGTCCAACATGGTGGGAGTGATACAAACTGTGTTTCTGGCCGGAATCCTTCTGGGTTCTCTCATGTTTGGACCTTTTGCTGAATCGTAAGTGGGAATAACAAAGCAGACTCATCTCCACTTTTTACAATGTCAGGTTTCTAGCCCTCAAATCTAGAGTGCCTTGCAAAAGAAATGTCGAAACACCTTGACATTTTTCACCCGGTGAAAAGTTGCAAACGCAAACTTTGCTGTGTTTCGTTGGGCAACACATTTTCTCCTGTCTGGCTTTCGTTGCATCGTCTCTCCTTACTCTTGCAGGTTCGGTCGTAAACGAGCAACTCAAATTCCAGCAGTAATATTGTTTGTGTTCACCTTGACAACAGCTCTGTGCCCCAGCATTTACTTATATTTAGCGTCCATTTTCTTCATGGGAGTTGGAGCTGGTGGATATCGAGTCAACTGTATTATACTGTGTATGTATATTTCATTTGTCTTGTTTTAATTGTGCATGCTATTTAAGAGTTTATAAATGCAAAACATGTGTCTGTTGCTTCTGGCATTGTGCTTTTTCCTTGCTGCAGCCACCGAATGGATCGGGGTGTCCAAAAGGTCATGGGGAGCATGTGTGACGCAGCTCTTCAGCTCGGTCGGTCAGTGCGTCCTGGCTGGTACCATCTACGGCATCAGAAAGTGGAGAGTGGCTCAACTGATCGGTGCAGCGCCTCTTGCAGTGGTTATTGTCTACATATGGTGTGTTAGGATTTAAAAGTCAGCTGTTTCCAATTACCTTTTAAGTTACATTTCATTTTTCCTGACCAGGTTCATCCCAGAGTCAGCCAGGTGGCTGTTAAACAAGGGACGGACAGAGGAGGCAAAGCAGCTCATTGCCAACGCAGCAGCCATTAACAAACAGCCGATCCCTCACTCTCTGCTGGAAAAGGTTCAGGATGCCAACTTACTGTTAAAGTATCAGTTTTCAGTAGAGATACACCGACTGGGACTGTTTTGTTCTCAAAAACTCATCTGGATTTGCAATACAGAGGCCAGCCTGATACTTTATACCAGATATTATAATAATCTTACATGATCTAGTCTTGTGATTGTGTAGCACTTATGTTGTAGCTTTTCTTATCTTTCTGTTCAACAGAAATAGATATTTAGTCCCCAGCCAACTTTCTACAGCACATGATATGCTGCTTCATCATGGTCTGAGATAGGTTCAGAAAGTTTCCTGAAATGAGTTGTATTATTTGTTTCCAAAGATATATCAGATACACACAGCTACCGTCCTCTGTAAACTTGCATCTTCCTGCTACTGATAAAGTTTTTATCAGTAGCATTAGCCTAGCACTACTTTTACTATCTGTAGTGCTAATGCCTGGCTAGCTACTAGCTTGTAATGCTAGGCTATAGGTAGCAGTAGCTTACTGTAGTGCTATCCTAGCATTACAGTAGCTAGCTGTAATACTAGGCTAATGCTAAGACTTTATCTATTCTGCTTTGATTCAGAAGTAATTCAGCTTACAAAGTATTTCATTGAAATTCCAGTCTGTAAACATTGCTTTGCCTTAAAATCTTCAAAATGTCTCCTTTATCAAATGATTAGTTGGATGTTTTTAGGTAATAATTTTGTCTTAATGCTTTGTCTGCGCAGTCATAATTTATCAAATTGTTTTAACTGTATTCATCTAGGATTGAGTACACTCTTAACCAGAATTTCTATCACAGGTTACCGTGAACACAACCCCAAACAATGGTGGCATGAAGATCATTTTCAGGTCCCCACTACTCACCAGATATTTCCTTACTGTTGTACTGGCTTGGTAAGTGAGTATTGCAAAACAAAAACTGGACATCACAAGAACAAATCGATATCTTTACTGCGCTAAACCAGATGAGCTGAGTTTGGCTTATTCCAGAATAACTGACCAGCTGTCAACCTGAAATATTAAATTAGTTGTTTCTGACTCTGACTACCTGACCTCTGCCTGTTTTCAGGTTTTCACTGAACCTTTGCATCTACTGCCTGTACTTAGACATGGGAAGCCTCGGCTTTAGCATCTTTTTGACCCAGTTCCTCTTTGGTGCTTTTGAAATACCTGCTAATCTACTCTCCATGTGGCTGTTGGAGATTTTTGGGAGAAAAGCGTTATTCATATTTACCCTGGCAATAGGAGGACTTTCATCCTTGCTCATTGTTGCTGTCCCCCAAGGTAAACCTTTTGTATGGATTGGTGTTACACAACATGTAATGTTGGTCTATTTGTCATTCTTTCTTTTATCCCCTTTCCTAGAACATGCTGTCGCTGTTACGTCTTTGGCTGTGGCCGCTCGCTTCTTCCTGGTCTGGGCTGGTTCTGTAGCATGTGTCTACATCCAGGAGTTGAGTCCAACATCAGTTCGGTAGGAGCTCTTCTTGCTGTCAGTGTAAAGTCACCAGTGTTTGGACAGCATTAGCAGTCAAGTCATCTAATACGTTTCAGACAAACTGCCACCGCTTTGGGCTCGATAGCAGCAAGAGCAGGAGTGTTACTGGCTCCGCTGCTGAACATGCTGGCCGTGTACCACTGGGTCATCCCCATCGTCATTTCAAGCAGCCTGACAATCATCGGCGGAGTCCTTGGCTTCCTGCTCCCAGAGACCAAGAAAACTGAGCTTCCTGAGACGGCTGAAGAGGCTGAGAAAAACAGGTAGACGAGTGTGGTCGATACAGATCTCTGGAGAAGCTACTCATCATGCGTCATCTTTCACTTTTTTTTACTTTCTGTCTTTCAGAATCACACCATCAGAATCCCATTTACCTTCTGAGTCGACTAAGCTCTGAACTTTTGCCTGTCTACCTGTTTCAACATACATTACTGGCAACACCCATGGTTATCGTTTACCGAACCTTAGCTACGTTGAGAGAGGCAAATATTTATTCTGCAAGAACAGAGATTTGTTCTTTTAC